TCTGGTGATTGTGCTCGCCGATAGACTCACAGCATTAAAGACATCTTTCTTATCGGGACACACCTCCTCCACGACAACGTTCAAACATTTCTTGACAAACTCTCCCTCAGTGAAAGGTTTACCGTAGCTTGCTATCAGTTGAGCAACACGAAAGCTGGCCCGAACTGATGATTGGTTCAGCTAAGTTTGGCGTACAAATGTAGTCTGTGTTAGGGGACTTTACACGGATGGATTTAGTGGCAGAAACACACACGGGCACAGGATAGTAGTGATGCAGATTTATATACAATGATGGGGGAATATTTACAAGGGAAGGGGCTATATACAGTGACAGGTAAAATGTGCAAGGAGAGCAGAGCTGAAGGGATGAGACGGAGCCGAGGTATGTGGGTGGACAGATGACGCACCGGAGCTACCTGAAAACGAGGGACAAACAAAGTTACGGAGTAACGTCGATAGCCGAGAGTTAGACTAAAGTGGACGGGGAGAGTTGGAGAGCTTACTTGCAACACAGAAATACAGCTGTAGTGGTGGTCACAGCCTGGTACGAAGTAACTCTCCGTCACGGATCCAAAGAAGCCAACACAAAGAAAACTAGGCAGGCAAGCAGGCAGCGGGACAGGCTAGAACAAAGGAGAAGCAGGCAGGAGATGGATCCTAAAAACATGCAGCTCAATAGCGTCAATCAATAGAATCAACAGATTCAACTTGCACCAACACGTTACCACTTATGATGACAGCGACAATACTCCGACACCAGACGTCCGTGACTCAGCTCCATAAAAGCGCTCACTGATGATGTCCGATACACCGCAGGTGTGCCGGAATTCCATCAAGCCCCGCCCCGCCTACCTGTGCCAAGAAGGGAAACAAAACCCAAGAACAACAACACACCTACCCACCACCTCCTAACAGTCTGCTGAGCTAACAGTCCACTTTTTAGCTTTGAGATTTTGTCTGTTCGCATTTGGCCTCGCAAGCTATCATACTTGTCTTTGTGACGGCATTCATAATGTCGGCGCAGATTGTGTTCTTTGAATACCGCCACCGTCTCTTGACAGATGAGACAAACAGCCTTTTCTTTGCATTGAACAAAAAAAATAATCGTGTGTCCACTGCAGGTTAAATACCAATCAGTTTTTCTCTTACCTAACCTTTTTGCCATTATTCCGTTCTGAAGGGGGGGGGGGAAGACGTTCACGTTCTGGGCAAAGTGAGGTCGTAGTAGCAAACATTTATTTTTTAGCATGGTTCACAATTCAAATCAAATGAGCTTTATTAACATGAGGAAACATTTTCAGAGCTTCAGTCGGGCAGGCCCAGTGTTCTATGGGTGCATTAGTGCTCTACTTTTGGGAGTATTTATTTATTTATGTATTTCATACATCGACAATTGTCATAGAAATTTGAAAATAATTTAAAGCTAAATATTTGTAATTATAATTAATATTGTAAGGTTTACAACATCATTAACAGCTTGTATTGATGTTATAGCTGTGTGCAGGCAGGCAGGGAGAGGACCTAAAATGCAGCACTCACGGACACAAACGTAACTCAAAACATTCAGCTTTATTGCTGGAAGGCAACTGAGCAGAAAACAAACTAAACAGGCAGGCTAACAAAGCGAACACGCAGTGAAAGTGAGGGTAAACCGACGTTAACGACACAACAAGAACTAACTGACAGGGATTAAAATACACTGGCAGGCACATGAGGAAACGAGGAACAGGTGGGCACACAGCTGGGACTCATTAGGCTAGACAAGACAAGGAAGCAAATCAGAATACACTAACATGAGACAAGACCTTCAAAGTAAAACAGGAAATCCACAGACTGAACTCAGAGGCAATACTAACACAGCACAGGGACACGAGACATGACTGACTAGGGAATAAGAGAATAACTAAACCTAAGAGCTAGAAATCACAACCCAGAAGAACAAGAAATCTAGAAATGCAAAACAGGAACCAAAACCCCAGTAGTCATGAACAATAGAAGAGAACAGACTAATAACACAGTACAAAAGGCCCAGGACTGTGACAATTGATGTGTGTGTGGATGCTTCACAGCTCAAAGCTGGTGAAGACTGCTTTGACTGATTGACATAAGATTTCAGTATTTGATGAGGATAAATCAAAATACTTTTACATTTATTGACTTTGTGAATAATTTTACTTGTTGACATTATGATGAGCTGCCTTAGATATCACAGGCTCCTGAAATAAAGTCACTTATGTTTAAAAATACAACTGAACTATTTGTGAACGTCTGATGTTTAAATTCATATTTGCCCAGATTCCCTGTGTCTGCAGCGACATGTGTATTGGCTGACTCACACAAACATGTACAATCACTTTGTCGTTCATGCTTCACCAACAGGTTGGACGTCTGCTTATTTTCAGTGTTAAGACAGAAATGTGCTGAATGTTGTTCCTCTAATGCATCATTTTCATATTTTACACATCTCTGGTATTCCCTGTGACAAGCTGACATCCGCCAATAATAAATGTATTTTCTATATTCTTATAGTTTAATTAAACATATTAATTTGAGATTACAAAGACAAATACATGTATTACAAACAAGGTAAATATTAGTTTCACCGATATAATACAAAGTATAATTATTATTATAATTGTGTTGGTTTAACATAAGGTAATTAAATACAATCTGCATAATAAATGTAAATGTAAAGAAACATTTTATGATGTTAAGATGAGAAAACTGTAAAGACTTCAGGTTTTATTGCAGTTATAAAACAGAAAAATAAAGTTTGACTAAACGTGACTTTATTACATGTAACTGATGTACATATTTTTTTCAGTGTGATCGGCTGACGATGTGTTTTGCCAAACGTCTGTTCATCATCAGACACTCTGCATTAAAAGTACGTATTATGCTGTAAGCCACGATATGATAACAAAAGAGTTTCATCACAAAGTAAATCACAAAAGAAGTTCAGATGACGACATTTCAGGAGTAAGTATCAGATCACCTGATCTGTAAAAGAGTACTGACATCACCAAGTCACACAAAGGATTAGAACAAAGCTCTTCTAGCAGCTTTTATCTGAATAATAACATCACATTTGTTCCTGTATCGATGTGATGAGAAGAAATGAGACCTGCTGAGGCCTCTGATACATTTATCAGCTATAGTAGGATAATGGCTCAAATGTGCAGCTGCAACATGATTTGTTTCAGTATATTTATATTTAATGATTTAAACTAATTTCATTTGAACTTTTTTAAGTTTCAATCATCTTTTACTTTTAGATTCACACTGATGTGTTCAGACTAAAGCTCTTTCAAACACCTTCTGAGCATCTTCAGCGAGCTGGTCAAGGACCAAATTCAGAATTTTGTAGGTTGTGGTGAAAGAGAGACCCACTGATACTGGAATTCCAATAAGTGGAATAAATCTGCACACTTCCTCTGCTACAATTAATGCAGTTACGGACCCAAGTTGGACTATCGCCTTCAAGAGGAGCTCTTTAGTTATTTTTGCTGCAGCCAGTGGTGAAATGATGACATCACGCAGATCAGCGTAGGGCACACCTGTTCTGGCAGAAAGTCTCTTCAGAGACGGGACATCGAGACCAAACACAAAAACATAATCTGTGACAGCACGAACCAGCAAAGCAACATCAACATCAATAGAAAGACCAGGAACTGGAACAGCTGCTCCAGCTGCACACAGAGTAGCCCAGTATTTTATTTTGGACTTCAGAGCTTGTTTCTTCTTCCTGATGATCTCTGGGTTGATGTTGGGCATGGCACACAGCAGAGCATCTCTCTTGTGTGCAGGAAGGTTTCTGTCTAAGGTCTTATGTAAGAGAGGGAAGTCGTACAGGTGGAGCTCAAAGCTGGACACCAGGAAGACCTGCGGAGACTCGATGCCTTGTGTCTGAAGACCTGCGTCACAGAAGAAACACACAGTGTGAAGATTAAGTATGAAATAATAAATTATCTAAAACTAGGCTTTCCTATCAGTGGATTCATTAACTCCTCTGACTCCACAGAGTTATGAAGGATTATAGTTTAGAATAATCTTGGATCCTATCTGCTGCTGGGAATCATGGGAATGATTAGAGTGTTTTTAATGTAAGATTCATATGAAGAGAAACTGCAGCCCAGAGAGTCTGAACAATACCAAACAAACATCGAGTTAGAGATTAACAGCAGCAGGCAGCTGTTCCTCAAGAAACATCAAACAACTAAAGTATGTTTGTTGATGGAGACAAACACTGGAGATAAAACTGATTATATGTTTATACATTGTTGACCCAATAAATGAATTTGATTGATAATTTTACCTTGTCAGTCAAAAATGAACAAATAAATTAAAAATCTGTTCTCATCCTAAATTTTGGTATCAGCCTGAGAGAGACAGTAGCAGTTTAATGAGTGATCAGTGTTATAAAGTTCAGCTGTCCAATAAAAGCCTGACCTCTCCAGCAGCTGCAGGAGGACAGATCTAAATAACTTTATACACTTGAAACATCAAATAAAGTTCATACAGCTTCTCTCAGTGATCACTGATAATCAAAGTAATTTGTCATTTTTCTGAGTATGTGATGATGCAAACAACAGAAAATAAAGGTTATTACATTCACACATTTTTAAAGAACACATCCAGAAATTAATCTCACACTGGGATAAATGATCACTGAATACTCACCGTTAACACAGTTGTCTCTGATCTTTGTCAGAGCCTCGTCTGCACTGAAGTCTCTCTTTCTTCTCTCAGCATATATATCGTTGTCGATCTTTGAGCGAACAAAGTAGAACTTTTTCTTCATCTTCTGAACCTCCTGAGCCAGTTTCACGTCATTTTCTCTGAAGCGAGTGTCTGAGATGACGATGAAGAAGTCAAACTTCTCAAATCCAACAAGCTTCAGGTACTCATCAGCTGGAAACTTGGTGGTGCCGATTCCAGGAAGATCCCACAAAGTAACATTGGGATACTTTGGATGGGGGTACTCTGTGACCTCCATGGTGGTTTCTGTAACACCAGTAGGAGCAGCTCCCTCCTCCTCATCATCACATAGTCCTCTGAGGGCGTTAACAAAGGTGGATTTACCAGAACCAGATTCTCCTGTGATGGCGATATTTAGTCTGATGTTTTTCTCCTTCATCATTAAGTCATTGATCTTTGCAGCAGCTGCTGGTCGGTCATTCTTCAGCAGAGCTTCATTAATTTCTTCTTTAACTAATGCAAATCCAAACTGGTCGTCTGTGCTTGTACTTAAAGACTGAAACAACAAAAGAGGACAAAATTTACTTTTGTGATTTTAGAGGCATGAAATGTAACTATCACAATCTAACATTATACACACAACTGACCTAAAATGCAACAATTAAATAATTACACAAATAAAAATAAAATACCTTAAATACAAACTGGAGCCAAATTATGGAGATTCATAATTAATTTCTTAATATTTAGTTTTTTTCTGTCTCAGAGGACTGAAATATTTTCATTGGATTGAAATGGGCTTAAAATAAATCTGTGGTTGACATTTTCATCTCTGAATTGAAAAGTAAAAAACAAAATGTTTGTTAGGCTGGAAAGAAAATGATCCCAGCTCAGACCAGCACACAGTGTAAAAACAGTCTGAGTTGAGATGCTGTGTGAAGTTACAGGAAATGTTTGAAACCTAAAACTATGATGCCTGTCAGTTTGGATTTAAAGCAGCAGCCAATGATCTGATCAGTGTGTTTTCACACAGGCCACAGTTACACTCATGAGAAAAACATCTTCTCAGTTCTCCTTCCTCAGGATTTACTAAGGTAAGCAGCAGCCAGGTGCTGCTAACTGATCAACAGGACAATGATCCTAAACACAGCAGCAATACAATCTTACCTTGAAGGCTTCTTTCTTCTTGCTGATGATCTCCAGGTTGACACTGGGTGTAGCAAACAGCAGAGCATCTCTCTTGAGTTCAGGGAGCTCTCCCTCTAAGGTCTCATGTAAGAGAGAAAAGTCGTACAGTTCGAGTTTAAAGCTGGACACCAGGAAGACCTGTGGAGACTCGATGCCCAGTCCTCTGACTCCTGTGTCACAGAAGGAAAACATGTTGTGACGATCATAAACAGAAAATATAAAATGCTAGCTGTTCTTA